CAGACACAGGACTGTAGTCCGGAGGGTGCAGAGGATCAGGACTGTCAGAGAGGGCCGGGGAAAGGGCCGTGTCCGGGTCGGTAGATCAGCCAAGGGTTCTGGAAAGAGAGGAGCTGTCGGCACTGGTGGGACCGATGCTGCCAGGCATGGTGGAGGAGGATAGTTGAAGAGCAACCCGGAGCCAGTGGAGAATGATGGAGGACAAGGGATTCATCGATTAGAGAAGGGAATCTGGAGCACAGCAGAGTACCTGCGAAGGGTAGTATAAGTTCCACCAACTGTGTGAGAGGCAATAAACAGCCTGGAGTGCATGGGACTGGGTGCATCAAGCCCTAGGGTCCCAACAGATTTGACGGTGCCAGGAGCGAGGTAGAAGGTGCTGCTGCCGGAATAGATGGGGCCGATGGTAAATGGTGGAATTTGAAGCGGTGTTCCGTGTGCACTCTCTTCGGGCCCGAAGTCGAAGCCAGACCTTCTGATGCAGCATGCGACTTCTCATCTGACCAATCCCGGTTCGTGGAGGAAATGTGTCGTTTTGAGGTGGTCACAGTCAGGGAGCCGCCCTTGTGCCTGTGCTTCTTGTGCATGTGGTGGGTCTTTAGTGGGTGCGGCAGTCCTGCATATGAGGAACCCGGTGAGGCACTTACCACTGGTGATGGGTGTCACTCTGGTGGTTCCGTTGGAGCCAGGTCTTGTTGAGCACATGGGCACATTGCCTCCTCCATTAAAAAGTTACGGAGATGAAGTTCATGAGCTACTTGGGGCTGTGATGGAAATGAGTGGCAAATGGAGCAGCAGGAAACTATATAGGCTTCACCCAGACAGTAGAGGCAACAGGTGCTCTTGTTGCTCACTGAGAAGGAGCGAGGGCACAAGGTGCAGTTTTTGAAGCTAGCTTGATGGGATCGGGCCAGGAAGGGTGGAGAAGCCCCCCAAGGGAAAAGTCCAATAAAATAACCTAACTATATACTAAGAACGTACAACTAACTAACTAAAGAGAAGGAAAATGGGAACTATATATAGTTACAAAGGGTTGAACACAATACTCTTACGTGACTAAGAGCACGTAGGAACAAGGTGTTCCAACTGTGGCCATGTTCCAAAGGGAACTGGAGTGGCGTCAACCCGCACAACATCTTAAAGCCTTGGATGCGCCATGTGCCGATGCATGACGCCCGTGGGGGGAGGGGAGGTCAACAGACACTACTATGAACAGTTCCGGCTCTGGCGCATGGTGCGCATGCACACCAGCATTTGGAATTCATATAAGGACCAGCACTTGAAAAAGAATCAGAACTTCAAGAAAGGTTACACAAAACCTGAGAAATACTTTTTTCCATATTCCTAAAAACATTTTTTCAGAGACTGTGTTGGGCTATTTACCAATAATGAAATTAAAGCATTAAAATTAAAATATTCATAATAAAAAAACAAAATGTTGTATATAAAAATTTAGAGTTTAAACTGTGGTACATCTAAAAGCAAACTACAATCCTATAATTTAGGAGCTGATCATATAAATTGTTACTTACACAAGTAGTCCTATTCCACTATTGAACCAATGAAGAAATTAAGTGTGTGTTATGAAGTGGCTTAGACTGAGAGAAGACTGTTATTGCAAGAACAATGAAAAATTTAAAACAGGAGAAGGCAGAAGAAAATTATTAACTGAAAAATATCTCATGTTATATGGAAGAGCCTGTTTAGATCCAGCATGCACATTATTTACAAGAATATGGCATCATTTTCCGCCATCTCACAGCTTTTCACAGAAGTAATTTAATATCAGAAAATAATATAAAATTTTTCTTGGCCAGTTTGTGCTCTTTGTTTTCTCAACTTGTAAATGTACCTTTTACTAAAGTGTTTATCTCTGTTTGCTGTAACTTTAAACCTAAGGCTAGAGGGGGGTCTTCTGAGCTCTTTAAGTTTGATTACCCTGTAAAGTTATTTTCCATCCTGATTTTACAAAAATAATTTTTACCTTTTTCTTTAATTAAAAGCCTTCTTTTTAAAAACCTAATTAATTTTTCCTTGTTTTTAAATCCAAGGGGGTTGGATCTTAATCCACCAGGAGTTGGTGGGAGGAAGGAGGGGGGATGGTTAATTTCTCCTTGTTTTAAAATCCAAGGGGTTTAAATCTGTATTCACCAGGACATTAGTAAAAAAGTCTCTCAAAGCTACCCAAAAAAAAAAAAAATTAGTTTTGGGAGTGGTGACAGCAACCAAATCTAAGCTAGTAGTTAAGCTTAAAAGTTTTCATGCAGGCCCCCACATTTGTACCCTAAAGTTCAAAGTAAAAAAGCAGCCTTAACAACACATTTATAGATGCATTTGTGAAAGGGTAAAATAAATATTTTAAAATATTTAAAAATCGTAATGATTTTTTCCTGTTAAAGTTCACTTTGTCTCTGTATATATGTTTTAGAACCCCTTAGGAACTTCTGATGCTGGGACAGGTTTTTTGTCATGGTCCACATTTCTTGGTCAAGGTGCTGACTCCAGAGAAAATAATATAAAAAAACAATAATAATAAGTAAATAAAAGATTTCAGGGTCTGTTCTAAAGTCTCTGGCAGTCAGGATTTGGCCCATGGTCTGCCTATTGACTACCCCTGTTCTGACGCCTAAGACTACTTCAGCTTTCATCTGTGACTGAAACTCTTCTGAAAGTAGCAGTAGGACCAATGCAGAAGGAGAGGTCTAGAAGTGAAAGGTAACTACTGTAAGTGTAATGAAATTACACGTAAAATTTTGCCCACAGATACTTCACTGTAGTCTAATGGGAGCCATATTTGATCATCCAAGGACAGAATCTGGCCCTATAGGTTTCAGGCTGGCAGGCTTTAAAATAATTATGATTTGGGAAAAAATAATGTGTAATATCAGAAAAATCTTTAAATGTTTCTCATTTCCTCTTGTCCTTCAATAACAAAAAATGAACAAACTTTTTCAGTTTCATGTAAAGAATATTCTACACAATTAATGCTCCCCCTCCCCCAAAAACACACACACAAACCTTGCAGTAAGCACTATTGATTAATGGAAATAACACACTTAGGTGCTTTAGCAATTACCTGTTACCTATTAAACAAACCTATGCATAATATTATACCCAACATTAGTTTAGAATAGCTAAATGCAAATCATCCACTGATTCACAAATTTTCCACTCTTTCAGAAACTATAACCTTCCACATAAAAAGAAGCAAATGCAGCAAATAAAAAAAACTGGGTGAACTAATCTATTTAAATATCAGGGGGTAGCCGTGTTAGTCTGTATCACAAAAACAACAAGGAGTCCAGTGGCACCTTAAAGACTAACAGATTTATTTGGGCATAAGCTTTCATGGGTAAAAAAACCTCACTTCTTCAGATGCAACTTCAAAGTTAGAACCACAAAGTTCTTATAGGAAAATTTAAACCAAACGTAGTTAACAATTCTGGGACAAAAATGCAGGCTGTAGAAGTAATTACAGAGGTTTGGCATCTAATTTCTGGGTTCCAAATCATTCATAAATAATTTTCAACCTTCCTGGACTACTATGTATAGTTTTGGGTTGTTTTTTTTTAAATACAGGAATATTGAAATATGGTATAACCATAAAGTCTCTTGAACAGGGAAGACCATTTTGCTTACGTGACAGGGTATATTGTAACCAGGGCCGGTGCAACCCATTAGGCGACCTAGGCGGTCACCTACGGCGCTAGCATTTGGGGGTCGGCCTTTCGGGTCCTTCGGTGGCGACCGGATCTTCGGCCGTCCCGGTCGTCATCGGCATTTAGGCGGAGGGAGCTGGCGCAGGGGGGCGCGGGGAGGGCCGCCTGCAGCAAGTAAGGGAGGGGGAAGCGGCATGCAGGGGAACTCCCCGCCCCAGCTCACCTCTGCTCCGCCTCCTCCCCTAAGCACGCCGCCCCGCTCTGCTTCTCTCCCTCACAGGCTTACGGCGCCAAACAGCTGATTGGTGCTGCAAACCTGGGAGGCGGGAGAAGTGGAGCAGCGATGGCGTGCACGGGGAGGAGGCGGAGCAGAGGTGAGCTGGGACGGGGAACTGCTGCAGGGCTCCCCAGGCCGGGGGGATCTGCCGTGGGGGGGGGGGTGCCACAGGGCAGAGGGGGGAACTGCTGCAGGAGGGGCGCCTCAGGGCGGAGAGGGGGGAGCTGCTGGCGGGGGGGGGGCGCCGGAGAGCTGCCACAGGGCGTCGGGGGGGGGGGGCAAGGTGGAAGTTTCGCCTAGGGCGCGAAACATCCTTGCACCCGCCCTGATTGTAACATTACTTTTGTAGTGGAAATGGATGCACTGTTAATTAAGTTAGGATGGGTAGATCTAGTGTGTTAAACTTGGCATTTCAGCCATCTAAAGCACATAAGTTTTCAACTCACTTATCACTTTCAGAAATATCACTTTTTTGACATTGTTGTCCAAAACACAAGGCTACGAAATAGCTTGCTCAGAAGGTTCACTCTCAAGAATTCAAGGACTGATGAATATTACAGCCGGTTTTGGTGCAGGATGACAAATCAAAAGGAGCTGGTTGTTCAGCCAGCCAGCTGATGTTAGAGAGAAGGAGAGTGATGTCTTTCAGGTTTCCTGGCTGGACACACATAGGATGCAGTTCTGTCCCCTGCCCCCATTGAAACAAAATAAACCAGTAGCTGATATGAAGTGAACAAATCCTAGGATATATTTAATAAATAACACATTCTTATGGAACATCTAATAACCTATCATTTATATGAAGATCAGAGTTACATAGTATAACAAACAGTAATAACCTCATTAGTTTTCCTGGATGTGCTTATTAATAAGGATTAACATTCTCTGATTAAACCAGTGGTGATTTGGTACATGCTGGATGCAGGGGTGGGGACAGAGGGAGGTGAAGGAACAACACTGGGGACAGAGGGAAGGTGAAAGGAACAACACTGATTAAAAATTATACCCCATTTCCCTCTGTCCTCAAGTTTAATGCATGCTGGACCATAATGTCAAGAACTTACCTGCTACAGGGTTCTTCCTGGAGTTTAAATTCTCAGACTCTGAATTCTCCTCTGGTTGCCCATCTGCTTCCACCTCTTCTTTGTTCTGAGTATCTTTTACAACTTTGTTAAGGGTAGTTCTTCTGCTCTCCTCTCCATGTAAATCTCCCTGAACAGCAGGGAGGGAAATTGGAGGAGGAGGAGGAGAGGAAGGAGGTGTTGTAGTGGTAACAGCAGCAGAAACAGGAATAGGAGGAGTTAGAGGAGGAGAGGGAGAGGTGGAAAGAGCAATGGAAGATGGTACACTTTCCACTTCTGCAGGAAAGCCTTCCAAAATCTCCAATTCAACAGTCAATGGTGCAACTTCCTGTTGAACTATTTCTGCTATGCCATCTGCAGCAGTTACTTTTTCATTAACTCCATTAATTTCATTAATTCGATTAGTACTAGCAGTCACTGGAATATAACTAGTTGCTACCGTACTAGGCTCCTTGCATGTGTCAGCATCAGCCTCTTCTGTTGGTGAAAGGTCTGATTCTTCTGTGCAGGGTGTGGCATTGGATATAGGTATTGTTTCCTCTTTTGGGGAAGTTAGTTCACATCTCTCCTCTGAGTCAGCTCTGAATGCAGATTTACTAGAAACAGCAACAGCAGCAGCAACAACTGCAATAGGAGCAAGAGGGACTGGCGATGCAGCAAGAGGAAGTTCTGGTGGTGATTCCACTGAGGCAGCCTCAGATGTCTGGCCAGCTTGATCTTTTTTCTCCCCACTAGGCTCTGGTCTGAGGACTGGGGAAGGAGATTTTAATACTGGATCTGGTTTTGGCTTCTCTTCTACGGAAGAAAAAAAACAACAACATTACAAGGACAGATTAGTTTACAAATTTAGTTTTAACTAGCCATGCTTAGGGTCCTTTTAATTGCCCCACCCTGTGTTCTGTCCATTATTCCAGGAGCTCCTTGGAAGAACTGCAGAAGCAGCAGCTAACCTTTAAATCTAAAGTGAGAACCAAGACTCTCAGAGAACTTTAATATTTAATGGACAGTTGAAGTTTTAAGAACAAAAGTCTTTTCAAGAAATCACCCTTCTCTTCAGCAAAACATACTTAGAAACCTTAACTACGGAAGACATGTTTGTTAATTTTGGAAACCTACAGAGGTTGACAATGACCACAAAACAAAAATAAATGTAAGTTAAATGGAAGAGAGAATGGGTTAGTGGACAGAGTGTAACACTAAGACCCAGGAACTACAACATTCTGAAATTCATTCTAAAAATGAATCACTCTGTGGCCTTCAGCAAGTCACAGCTCTAGCTTTCTCTATTTGTAAAATAGGAATACTACTATTTGCCTATTTGAGTAGAGTGTTGTGATGATTAGTAATTTGTTTATTGCTTTAAGGATGCAAAACACCATGCTATTATTAAGAAGTGAGAGAATTTGACAAATAATAAAACAAATTATCTTAAATTTCTAAATTCCTCAGACCTTCAGGATATCAGAAAAGACTTTTTACACTCTACTCTTACACTTTTGTTTTAAATTCTAGCAGTGAAAATTAAAATTTATCCCAAGTAAAACTGAAAATGAAGGGGATTTAAGAAGGGGATTTAAGAAGTTCTATTTCATTTTGAGGTATGGTGGTGAAAGACATCAGTCTGGGTTGGAAAAAGTAAGACGAATTACCTTATCGTAATGCATTATTTGAGATGTGTGGTCCTTATGGGTATTCACTGTGGTTGCACATGCACTCTATGTGCCTGAGACCAAAAGATTTTTCAGTAGCAGTTGGTCCACATCTGTGCTCTACACCTCCCTGTGCTCTGAACCAAGGGCATAAAGGGCACCGAAAACCTCTCCAGTTCCTACACTACAGTGAATAAAGTGAGGATTCATGCAGAGGGGATGGAGGGAAGGTCATGAATACCCACAGGGACCACACAGCTCAAACTCCAGTTACTATAAGGTAAATAACCTTTCCATTTGTTTTTGAGTGCTTGTCCCTAAGGGTGTTTACTGTGGGTGACTCCCAAGCAGTACTCATTGAGGAGGACGGTGTGAGGAAGTATGTTACACCACAGATAGAAAGATCATTGAACCAAAGGAGGAATCCACGGATGAAGCTTGAACAAGGACACAAGGCTTGAACAAGGGCATAAAGTCTAGTCCCATGTTGCTGCTCTACAGATTTCTAAGAGGGGAATTCCTTGCAGAAATTGAGCAGCCCTGACACCTGTGGGGAAAGGACTCTATGAGCTCATAGCAAAGGAGGATGTAGCACAAAATCTATTTAAAGGGTCTTTACAAAGAGACGGGCTTTCCCTTCATTTGCTCAGTAATGGAAACAAAGAGTCTCAGACTTCCCAAAGGGCTCTGTCCTTTGCAAGTAGCAGGCTAAAGCTCTGTGGACACCCAGTGAATACAATCTTCTGTATCCTTGTTGATGTGAAATTCTGCGTGGAAAAAGAGGAATTGGACAGTTCGATTCAAGTGAAAATCAGAGTGAACCTTAGGGATGAACTTGGGATGAAATCTCAAGGACACTTTATCCCTATGAAAGATTAAGTAGGGAGAGTCCGCCATGAGGGCCCTGAGCTCACCCATTCTCCTGGCAGAAGTGATTGCTGGTAGGAAGGCCATTTTCATAGAAAGGTGTAAAACAGAAGAAGTGGCCAAAGGCTTGAATGGCAGGTTCACAAGCACTGACAGTATCAGGTTCAGGTCCTAGGCAGATATAGGTTTTAATACCAGGGGAAAGGTTCTGATGATACCTTTTAAGATCCTCAGAGTTGTAGGATAGGTGAAAACAGAGCAGTTCTCCACCAGGGGATAGAAGGCATTAGTAGCTGCTAAATGTATGCACAGTGAACTAATGGAAAGACTCGATGCCTTTATGGATAGATAGTCCAGAGGGTCCTGGGTTCCTCTGGAGGTAAGTGACATTGCTGATAGCAGAGGGAGAACCGCTTCCATTTGGCAGTATAATGCTTCCTTGTAGAGGATTCCCTATTTTTATTAAGGATGGGTTGGCTCTCTTCTGAACATGATCTATTTGTTGGCTATCCAAAATCTTGGGATGGACTTGGAATGGTGTAAAGAGCTGCTTTTGGGCAACTACATGACAGCGTATAACAGTTTGGGAACTACACTCAGGGACTAGTCTAGCACTTCTAGTCATTCACACATGGAACAAGACCAAAACCATTCTACCACCAGGAGAAATAATTTTTACAAAACTATTAAAAAGTGGATATTTTGAAATACTAAATTTATTCATTATGAATCATTAAGAAATAAATGGGATCTCCAAATGCTGGAATAGCCAGAAATAATATGCTTCAGCGCTCCTATCGAGAGTGACTTCACTGTGCTTTGCACTGCTACAGTTCTAAAATTGCATTATGTTCCCTCAGAATAAATATAGAATTAGATATGACCAAGGATAATGGAAAATTTGTTACCCAACAATTTCCTTTCTGGGACTGATCTCTCCTCCAATCGGAGACACTCAAGCTAGACTTCTTTTCCTAAAATATACAAGATGCAGTTCAGACTTGTCCACGAGGTTCCAGGGCTACCATTACCTTCATGTAGGCAAAAAAGCCTATGGCAGGCTAGGAGAATAATTTATTCCTTTAGAGGAGTATCCCATCTTGTTTAGGAGATTCCATTCATAAGCCACACTGTCAGGTTCAAATAATAGAAGGGGGCCCTGAGATAAGAGAGGAGATTTTGTCTGGGATAATGAGAATGGCCATAGCTTCCTCTTTCTTGATCTTTGGAATTACTCTTCCTAGTAACAGAAGAGAGAAAGCATATAGAAACAGATTCAACCCTCCTTGAGTCAAAGCATCTTTTCCCAGTGATTTCTGGTCTGCTTTTCTGATGAAGAAAGGCCTTATTTTCACATTTTGACTGAATGTGAACAGGTCCACCTTGATTCAGGGACTACTCTGAGTTGTTTACCTGCCGACAGCATAGCCAGCTTGCATTTGTGTTGTAAATCCCTTTTATGTGGCTCATCTTAAGGGAGGCTAAGTGACACTCCATCCAGGAGACCTGCATTGCTTCCAGGTTTAGACATAATCTCAATATTTTAGGTTTTTGTACATGTTTTTGTGATTAAACCAAGACATGCACTTTTCTTACGTGATCAGAGAAGTGCTGAACAGCCCACCTGAATTCTCTTACCTCTACGAAATTGATGCTCTAAATCATCTCTGAGTTCTACTTCTACTATTACAGGGATTTCCTGCTTCCATCACCTGGGGGACTTGATCACACTGGGCAGCATCTTTACTTTTCATTACCTTGCTTGGGAATCATTCCAAGCCCATAAGAGGAATCTCTGAAGTTCTTTCATGGGCACTGTTGCCCATGGAGTAATCGCTATGCATGAGAATAGATCAGGGAACTGCATAAAACGGATTTATGTCACTCGGTTCTGTGATATCCCATGGACAAGTACTTGAACCTTGTCAAAAACATCCTCTAACTTGAGAGGACTAGAGCCCTCCTTGCATCAACGTTGATGTCTACATAGACAATCCTCAGAGAGTCCTGGAGATTTTCTTTCAAGTTTGTCACAAACCCCAGTGCCTGAAGAGCACTGCCAGAATTACTTGCTGCAAGGCCTCTTGGGATCAGTTCTGATGACTGTCGTTTAAATCCTAAACTCTCCAATCTGGTTATCATCACCTACCAATATCTTCATGAAAACTATGGAAGGCAGAAAGACCATTTTGTATCAGCAGTGATTATTTCTGTTGGCAAAGCAGAGAATTTTCCAATCACAGGGCCTAACTAAAACACAGATAAAGCTTCTGTAAAGTCCAGCCACCTCTATTGGTCTCCTCAAGTGATTCCAGTATTATCAGAAGAAAGCATTTCCATACTGAATTTCGTCACCTTCACTGACTTGTTTGCTCTCTTTTGAAATCTCACATGGTTCGAATTCCTCATTGATTTTGTACTTTAAAGAATCTGGAGTAGAATCCTGAGCACCTTTTATCTTGAGGGACAGGTTCAACTGACTCAGCTCTAGGAGACGTGAGATTGTACGCAGAATGGTTTGATGTATTATGACATCTCTCAAGCTTCAAGAGGGGACAAAAAAGGATTTTGAGGTGCCTTGAGCTTGAGGAAGCATCTGTGTTGCAATATTTCCTATACTCACCTGTCAAAGTCATTAGATCTAAGTCTTTGATATGTGGAATACCCTGACCCCTAGGCATTTTTCTGGATTGGAAGTCGACCAGCTGCAGTCATACTGATGATTTGGGCTGGAACAATTGGCTCCACTTTTGGGTCTGAGCTTCCCCCTAGCAGTTCAAACTCATATTTTGCCCCGGGGTAAACTGAGTCTCTTCTCTGGTAGGAAGGACTCTTAGGTTTCACTGTGGTTCTCCTCATCCCTTAATATGCAACTGGACAAGTGCCGAGGAGGACTGATTTGACCTTATGGAGGTACCTCTGGAGGTATTACAGTTGGTGTGGGGAAGGATATGGAGGCCTCAGCATGATGTCCAGATGCTGAGCAGAATACAGGTTTGCAGGCAGAGCGTGGTTGTGAGTTCTTTGGTTCCTGAGAGGATCTCTTGATTTTTTGCCCATTTCATTTAGCCTTCTCCACCATTTTTAGAGGAGTGGGAAATAAATGGAGAGAAGAAACTTGGCAGGTGGCTCCATTTAGAGGACAGAACTCCAGAAACCTTGACCTCCTAAAGATGTAGGGAGATTTTGTTTAGTGTAATTCCAAAATAAGTTCTAAATTCTAAATAAGTTCTAGAATTGCTAATGGATGAGGTCGGAGAGCTGACCTGCTCTGCACAT